GGAATTCGTATCATGTCCCTTTACTCTCCGTTTCACAGATTCAGGTTTTGCTTCGTGTACTTTTCATTAATATTTGAAATATCTGCACTTAATAGATGACCGTGATAAGGCGCCTATCTTATATTAGTTAAAAACATTACCCTTGAGACAAAATGGGTTTTGTGGTAGGTGGGTAAGCTTGTCTCCTCTTCCTGAAGGAACGAAATATTAGTACAGTAAATTAAGAACCTGACATGCCCCTAAATGCCAGTAAGAGGCCAGCGTTGGACCCCCTTCATGAAAATGGCCATGCCCCTTAACATATCTCACATTTCAATGTCTTTTGTTCTACTTTAAAACCAAATCTTATTTTTTGTTCCCATAGCTCATTAACCTGGTGAAAAGAGTTGGCTGTCAATTCCCTTTTGCCGTCTTCACAAAGTGGGACGAATGCTTAAGAAAAGCGCGGGAAAAAGGAGAACACGCCATAAAAAATGCGGAACAAATGGCGAATGATTACGAACAGGAGTTCTGCGAAGCGGTTCAAGAGAAAGGCGACGTTTACTTCGTGAACGTCCAAGACTTTGGAAATCCTGATGTAAGTACTGAGTCCATGTATCTTACAACTCGGTTCGCTTAAGTGTATGCATATTTCCTTAAATTATCAATTTAAGGAAATATGCGCATGGAGAGGCAAGATATACAGGTCTGTTCTGAAGTAATCAAAACTAGAAGCTTCTAACCCCTTTTAAAATTTTTCTCCTTTTTTCTGAGGTTTCCCTATTCACACAGCAAGTTGGAAAGAAATAGTAAAAGCGCGTATTTTCGCCAGTGTGGTAACGTAAGAGGTTACAATTACAGCTAAAGCGCCTCGACGACCCAGACACACCACCTCTGTCGGTCACAATGACTAATTAAACGATGGTTTAAGTTAGCTGTTTTACTTCTATACAATGAAATTCTAAAAGAAAGGCGAGTTTCTAACTCCCCCTTATTTTCAGGATAAATTTCGTCAGTTCGAGGACAAACTGGCCAAGAGTGTAGCAAAGTTAAAGGTAGAGTCACTTACTCAGCAAGCGAAATCTGTCGCTTTGGATTCCAGGAAGGTCTGCACAAAGCTAAAAAATATGGTCGAGGCCACACAGAGAGAAAAATTAAATAGTCTGGGAAAAAAGTTGGATTTTGTGCAAAAAGACAAGGAGACTACCCGTAAAGCTTTTGATGACACCGAGAGTAGTGATAAA